GTGTGTATAACTTGAGTCTGCATTGGAGAGCTCTTCTGCACTCTTTCCTCTCCAGAGAACTGTATCCTGTGGATTCTTCAAAGATGACTGATGAGCAACAGGCTGTTCTTGCCTGGTGAGGTCTGTTCTTAGGAAGTCTAGGATTGTGATGCTGCCTTTGTCTTGCTCCCTTCTTTCAGGTTCCTGAACTTCACCTGCACTGCCACTGCATCCAGTAAATTGATGCTGTGATGAAACACCCTCAAACTTGATGATGACTACATGATAAGTGTATCGCTCATCACTACATGATGAGTGATCATAGCTTGTTGTTGTGGTCTCCTTGAGAATCTAAGCTTGGAATTTCACTTTGGGCTGTTCAGAAGCAAAATGCTTCTTGCATCTTGTCTAACCAAGTTGATCACTAGCAGCAGTAGTTCATCTCATGGAGGAAACAAAAGAATTGTTTGATACCACAAACCTGACTGTTTCATTTTCAATGTTTACTGAGTGGCTGCTGCCTCGTAAGCAAATTTCCACAAGCCCTTTAATCTTTAAGCTAAAGATGAGTGTTGAGTTAGCACTTGTGGAAACAGAGTAACAGAATGTATTTGTCGTTTGTCTGAACGCAGCAACTCTTGGCCAGACCTATCCTATCAACAGTATACTTCCTCCCAAAGATGGGTGCCCTTGAACTAGAGCAAGCGAGTTTAGACAAATGCACTGAGTTAAAGTCACTTGGAAGTCTTAAAAAATTGAGCATGTGTTAGCATGTGGTTTACTAAATTCACAAATTTTTCAGAAGTATACTCAAGATTCAACAGCAGAACTGTGTCTAATACTGTACTAGCTACTGTAGTCTTTGGTACCATGTTTCAGAAGCAAAGGTTTTAGGTCAGACAGCGCTTAAATAAGGCTTTTGTTGTTCCTTTCCTGCCTCAGCAGCAGAGACAAAACGTTTTTTCCACTCATTATACACGCACTTCGTATAACATATAGTCTAGAAGATCTTGTGGAAGTGTAACACTAACATAATGTTAGTCCATGTTGAGTAATTCAGTAACAGCATTGAGGGGAGGAGAATGCACTCTTCAAGTAAAGCTTCCCTCTCAAATTTAAGCTTATCAATTACAGTTCAAGGCTGTTGCACCTTAAGGGAAGATGCTCTGTTTGCATTTCTTCATCTCTTAAACAGTAAGAGCGATGGTGTTGAGACACTGAACAATGTTCTCCTAATAATGCATCAGATAGTCCAAGTACTAGCTGTTGCTGCTTCTGGTCTAGAACAAATAAACTAAAACATGCCTTTACTCCTCCTGCTACAGGTGCTACAAGCCTGATTGGAATTGCAATCATGTCATTTAAACAGCTGTTTCACCTATTTTAAATTGTCCAGCAACTGGTTATTACCCACCTTCCCCTTTCCCCTCCTTTTTTTATTTCTGCCTTTGATTTGAGACAATTATTTCATATTCCAAGGTTGAAGATTTTTGGTATTTATTTTATTCTCAACCGATTTTTCTGTAAAGGCTGTAATAGCACCGTTCACTCTTTCTTTGTTTCCATTTGCTACAAGTAATTTTTTTGTCAAGGTGTCTTTACATTTGACATGCAATTGCTTGTGGTCCAGTTCAAAATTTGGTCTCCAGTGTTACAAAGTTTTGAAGCAGTTTGCAGAAAGCCTGCCTGAGATTTGCTGAAAATGAGTGTTTGTTTTCTGTGAGCTAAATGGTATCAACAACTGAGTTAGAAGTTGAAGGCTAAGGACCTTTTGCCAGCAGAAGCCAATTGTCAGCACAAAGCACCAAGACCTTTACAAATGACACCTAGCAGCAGCTTACAGTTGTTAACCAGCTATATGATTAATAATTTAGCTAAAAAATCCAACTGAGCCATATCACATCTTGTTAATCTTCAAATAGTAGAGGAGTTGTGGTTATAATTAACATATGGTTTCCAACAGGAAATTACTCATAATCTGCTTAACATTGTTTTTCATGAATATATTTACCCATGTTTTTCTGAATATTAAAACATCTCAGTGTTTTGGTATATTGTTTTAGTGTCTTTTTTTCTGAATATTAAAACCATCTTAGTGTTATGGTATATAACAGTAGATCAGTGAAGGATCATATGTATCTTTGTTACATGCAGATACATTGTGAATACATTAGTGTTATGCATAGTTATTGTAGGTTGCACAGAGCTATATAAAATTAGTGTGATTAGGTATTTTTTATTAATTAATTGTTTACTTGTTTTGGAGATTTATTTGGAAATGGAAGAAAGTATACTTCCCAACTCCTTGAGGTTTCATTTTTAGAAAATACGGGGACATAGTTGTGGATTCTTACTATGGCATTTCTATCCCAAACTGTTTCCATGTAAAACTATTCAAGCTCAAAACTTGCTGAAGATAAAGATTGCCACAGTGGAGCAGTCAGACTGTGCTGCTGTTTGCAGCATCTTTAATGGTTGTTGTATGAATGAGGGAGATCTTAGCACCATCAGTAAACCCATTGCTGATCTTTCCTGTTTGCTAATTGGAAAAAACATTGTGTAGGTGTCATGACAAATGAAGGTAATCTGCCAAATGGCAGAGGTTTTGTTACTATGGAAATGAGCCCAGTCTTGGGGGGAGGGAAAAGGCTTAATTTGGGGGTTTTTCAGATGTATGCGTAAACATGAAGAAATACTTGCAAAAATTACAGGGATTGGTCCAGTGAAATATTTACAAGATGAAAAAATGTTTTTAATGTTTGCAGACTGTAACAAATTTGGAGAGTTTTCAGGGAATTTGGCAGGAAGGATTAAATTTGAAATGTCTTGGCAACTTGAATTAGTATCTTTTAAAACAAAAAGAAAAAAGCTATGTTTATCAAATTGTCTGTGTTAAGTCCAAATCATACTGTGTTTAAAAGACATAACTATTAGCACAGGTAGAAAAAGAGTATTAGAAGCTCAATTTTGAGGTTTGCAGGGAAATGTTTTCATGCTGACCTGGATTAAATAGGTCTGCTGTGCCATATTGCTGTGGAGCTGCCAAATAATACCTGGAATGCAGTTTAAATGTGACCTTGGAGGCCTATGAGACATTTCTTCTTCCTCTTCCTAACAGCAAACAACAAGTATTGTTTTCAGCTTTGGTCAACATGGTTTATGTGTGGTATTGACTGAGAGACAACAGCAAACAACAAGTATTGTTTTCCTAACAGCAAACAACAAGTATTGTTTTTGGCTTTGGTCAACATGGTTTATGTGTGGTATGGACTGGGAGAGCCCAGAAGATACTTTCATCAGGACTTTTAGACTGAAAGTTAGGGTGCAAGTTTCATAAATGGTCATTAGGTCCAGAGCAGAAGATTGAGTGGCTACAGAGTGGAAAGGGCTGCACTGTTCTTCATGTTTGACAGCAGAATAAGAATTAACTGCACTAAATGATAATAAGGAAACATGTCTAATTAAAGAAAAACCAAATAGTGACGCTATGGAGTTCAGTTGCTGAAATTTGAGCAGTAAAGGTTATATGGAGTTTTTTTTTCCATTGCTTCTTAAATAGCTTGTATACTGTTACCTATTGAAACTTTACTGTTGGGGGAACCTTGAGCAGTCATCTCCATTCTCTTTGTAAGCTTTAACTTTTTGGGGGTGGTGAGGGAATTACCGTCCACTGAACCAGTTCTTTTAACTCCAGGATAATGATGTTTGTTCCTTATAAGCAAAGTGGTCAGCTGGTTTGTTTCTGCAGGAAGTGTCTTGAGGAACATACCTTCCTCTTAATACAGGTCAAGAGGGGAAAAGTGGTGAATTCTCTAGGAGGCAGCTTTCTTGGCGTACTCTGCAGGAATTCTTTCTTTGAGCTTGTATTCTAGCTGCTGGCTGTTGGTCAGGCTTCAATTTTTCCAGCTTTTAACTGCTGGACCATGAGACTTCTATATTCTTGCAGTCTGAATGCTGTACAGGACAGTAACCACTATGTTTTAGAACCTCAGCATTTTTATTTGGAACAAAGTTGTTTGAATAAAGTATTAAGATTCTTCTGATTCTCAGTCTGTTACTGAAAATGCAACTTTTCACTGCCTGGGACTTTCAGATCTAATAGTTTTTTATTTTTCAACTAATCTGAACTGTAAACTATTTGAATAAAGTTTGTTGTACAGAGGAATATTAGTAGCTTTTGCTTGAAGTCCTTTGTAAGGTGAGCTGTAGGCTGCATAGGTAACATATGACTTTTTTCTTATTTTTGTAGAATTAATAATCTGAAAAAATAATAGGTTAAAAAACATGCATTTCAGAATAATCTCAGTGATGGTGACAAAACAGGCATGTGTGCATATGGTGTCTTTCTTGTATGATGTCTTTTTTATTTTTCCTGGGTAATAAAATGGAGGAGAAAAAGAATGTGGTAGGAATGAGGTGTGGGCAGGAGAGGATTAAATGAGCTTAGAGAAGTGTCTTAGCTGTAATGTAAAGGGATGAACATTAAGTCTATAAAGTGAGGATGGAAAAAGTCCAAACAAAAGGTAAAGAAACTGCAGTTTCTTCCATCAGCTGAATCTTCTGCTAGATGATACATTTTTGAAGCTTACTTTTTGTCTTGGAAGGCTTGAATCTTCGTGTGATAAAGACTTTACAAAGCAGTGTTCTGTACTAGCAGATTGTTTTACTGAGAATTGTCAATAATTCTGGCTTCTGGCATTGCTGTGGCACTGAAGAACTTGTAATAGAAACAATAGGGCAAGCCAATAGAAAGCTCAGGGACTTGTTTCTCTCCTAGCATATATTCTGCTTAAATTGATGAGAGTAAAGGCCCATAATTCAGTGGAACATTAGGAAAGCAGAATTTTAGGTGCTTGTACTGTGATTCATACTCTGAAATTCTACCTGCGATTATTCCCTTTGTCTATGAGAAAAAAAAATATACAGCGCTTCTGATGTTTTTTCCCCTCTGTGCTTATTACCATGAGGTACAGAAGGAAGTTTATTTATTTTGTTCTCATTGCTTTTTTTCTCTTTTTCAGAAGTAAGAAACTTTTTAGCAAGAAAAAGTTGAAAAGAAAACAGAAGACTAAATTGAAAGTAAAAACACGCAACAAGGTAAGCCTGTAACTAACTTGACAAAGTCCTGACTCAAAAATGGCAGTAACTTCAGTTGAGAGAAATGCAAGAACACCTAAATATGACTAACAATGTGTTTGTTTAGAGGAGTTAATAGTAGACCAGTATTGTCTGTTACTCTATCTTACATGACTGTGATACCAATAACCTTATTCAACTGTTTTTGGTGCTAATGTTCAACAGGAAATAATGTGAACACTGTTTTTAGTTCTCCAAGTGTAGCTAAACATGTTGGTCTTAGAGGTAAATTTTGAGATCTGCATCTAGCAGACAGAGACTAGTGCTGCAAAGAGTTTGCCGTGTTGGCTGAAGGAGAAAAGGAGCATTCTTAGGACTCCAAAGTTACCTCTGAAAATTCCTCCATAATGGAAAACGTAATAAATGATAACTAAGTGATTCTATTCCTGTTTTCTCCCCATATAACTCCTGCCTCCAATCACTTTAAATGCATGGGAACCACACAGTGAACTTAATAAAAATGTTTACATCTTTATTCTTGAGAGAGAATAAATTTATGCAGAAGCAGTGCTATTTTAAAATACTGCTGGGCTGCATTCTTTCTCTATTAGAGAGCTATTATTTCTCTATTTAAGCTACAGTCTTGGAATGATTTTCATGAGGGTGTGAAGGCTTGTAATCAGTAAAGAGAAAACTCAGTTTTGGAATGGTTCTGAAGGACAGAACCACTGAAATATCCAGTGTAAACACTTTCTAGTGAGCTGAATGCCCTCATAGTACAAATGCACTGTAGAACCACTTGGCCATCTTATCCTTATTTGCCAAACCTCATGTAGTTACTGTATCTCAAGACAGATGGCTTTGGGAGGATGAAGCAAACCCTCTATCTATTCATTTGGTATTGACTTTTTGGAGACCTACCAGATTATTCTGCTTATCTCAAGTAGTGCAGCTTCCGACTATGGTATAGAAAGAGCTTATCTTCATTTCTCTTCTCAGCACTGTACAGTAAAATGTTTGTGGTCCTAACTGAATTTCTCAGTCCTTTCTTCAGTTGCTATAAGAAGTTTTAGCTCTGTCCTCTCCATGACTTTATCAACCCACTGTCAACAAAGACAACCAAGTTAGAGATTTGAAGAAATATAGTTAGTTTGTGTGTTCTGTCTGGTGACAGAAACTTGTGCTTTTAAAATAAGATAACTCTGGCTTTGGTCATTGTTACACTATAAAGGGACCCTTGTCTGTCTGGTTGATGGGACCCTAGTTTTACTGCCAAGTAGAAAGCTAAATACAGAATGGCTGTTGACAAGCTTAGCAGTCAAATGTAGTTCTTAAATTTAGTTGTGTTAGGTAGATGGAGTGGCAGGATCCTTGACCAAGACAATATGAACATACTAAAGGCTAGTTCGTGTGAGTAGTTGTGGATATGGCACTAACTGATAATTTCCTCACCTCATCCCTATGGAAGGTTGTTCTCAAGATTTTTCTTGGGTTTAGGTCAGTTTCTACTTAAAGCATTGAGATTTACATCTTTGAAAGTCATAATGGGTTTTTGTGTGTCTATTACTGATGCTATTACCTAGGTAGTATCTGAGACTGACCAGGGATTGGCCATTAGAACATTGGTCTTCATTCTGAGTGACTTGGGTACAGAGGAGCACTCCAGCTTATTTCAGCATGTTAGCAAAAAATTGTGTGTTTGCTGAAAAACGTAGCAGAGAAGGGAAGGATAAAACCAGCTTCATATCTTGAGGTTATGAAACTGACAGGGTTGGATGATTTTGTTTATTGGTTTTTTTGTAGTTGTTTTTTTGTTGGAGGGTTTTTTTGGTTTTGTTTTGTTGTGTACTTTTCAATGCGTCCCAATGCTTACCGTGGCAGAATCAGCACAGTGGTTATTTTTGCACTGGAATGTCTGAAAATGGATGTGTCTATTGTCAGGAAAATGTGAGCTTCCATTTGGAATCTTTAAAATAGAGCGGTTGAAAAGTCTTTCACTGCTGGACTTTTGAGCAGTAGAGTTTGTGTGCATTGGTTTATTTTTTGAAGAAACGGGGTCTTTTAGTCTGAACAGAGATGGAAGCTTTCTCTTAATATATTTAGTAGAGGCAGAGAGGGTCTTAAAGGAGGAGTAAGATGAAGTAACCCAAAATTTTGTTATTTATATCCCCTGCTTAGTAAAAATGATTGAGTAATGGAAGAGGAGAGAAATTTAAAAGTGAAGCAATTGTTGGTCGACTGGAAGAAAATTATTTCCACCATTTAAGTATTAAATGTTAGAACATTTTAGGTATAATACTAATTAGTGTTTAAATAGCTCAGTAGTTTGAGTCTTATTCTATTTCTAAGGTGGGTCATGCTATGATCACTGGTCTTTGAACTATTGCTCATTTTTTGGTTTATGGTTTAGTATCTAATTTTTAAATGGAGGTACAAAAGTTTTCTATGTGGTGCAGTCTATTTTGGCTTTAGAAATTCACTGCTGACATAAGTGACTTTTAAATAGAAAACAAGTATCTGATTGTTAGACATGGGTGTAGCACCTTGGATTCCAGTCCCTACCTGCCTCCTCCCCACTTTTTTTTGTCTTTTGGCAGAGAATATCGCCAGAAAATTGTAAGGCCTTGTAACTTTTCCCAACTCTATGAATATTGCTGCTAACCTGCCCTTCCCCCTTCAGACACCCTGGATATTTCCCCCCTTTGCTGTTAATTCATGCAGGTGCTGCTTAGGACCCTTGGATTGAGAGAGACTTACACAGACAACCACAGTTCCTCATATTCTGTTTTCATAATGTTATTTGAAGAACACTGAAAAATTGGAGTCCACCAAACACAGCTTATACTGGAAATGATTGGTGTCTACCTGTTTAGTTTATGCAGAAGTTTTAAGCTATGACTTTTTTGGCTTTCTACAAATTGGAGTAATGAAACTTTAAGGGGAAGATTCATGTAGCAGACAAATTCATTGTAAGCTAATGAATAGATGTATAAAACGCATCGACCAGGATGAATATTGTCTCATTAAAAAGACACATAGGTTCTCAAATAATTTGGCGTTGTTTTCAGTGGCTTTTGTATTTGGTCTTTCAACCTCAAGAGGGCATCCCTTTCTAAGAGATCTTTTGACTGTCTAAAAAAGAATTGGCTGAGCTTCTCTTCTCAGTCTTACACATGGATTAGATCAGATGGTTATTATAACCTGACCCATCTTTAACAGCAGATTAACTTTCCTCTCTTAGATTATAGTCTATTTCCATCATATTTAAGAATAAGCCATTGCCACAGTCATCTGATTCAAGAGGAAGAAAACAAATAGGTTAGAAAATAAGCTATGTATGGGTTTCATCTTTAGGGAAAAGAGTTTCTTTATGTGTGAGATGTGCAAAGGAGACCAGAGGGTTTTGGTTTTTTGCACTGCTACCCTTGAGTGTACAGGAACATTACAAAATGCTAACTGAGAAGAGCAATTAGGAGTAGGTTGCTCTTATCTTTTGAACCAAACCTGTGCTGTTTACCTTCTCCTACATAATTCATTCTTCCAGTTAGCAGGGAGTAAGGGAGTATATGTTTACAAGGACAAGCCAGGCATCAGCGTGTGAGCATCTGCACTTTGATCTCTCCTTCATAAGAGTCTTCCCTTTCAGAAAATAAAAAGTAACACACAAGAAATAAAATATTCACGAATTAAAACTGTCTTCACCAATGATGGATATTTAAGTTTTACAATGTATGTTTCACCATATATCTTCATTTGATAAGGTGCACATTTAATTTTTGGTGACACCAAGTCAAACAGCAAAGATGATGATTCAGAACGTCCCACTGTGTTACAGTGTGGTGGTGTTCACAGGGGTCCCAGGACGAGGGAAGAGATGAGAATCTTGACTCCATGTTTCAGAAGGCTGATTTAATATTTTATGATATATATTATATTAAAAGAAAATTATATATTAAAAATATACTAAAAGAATAGAAGAAAGGATTTCATCAGAAGACTGGCAAGGAATAGAAAGGAATGATAATAAAATCTTGTGACTGACCAGAGAGTCCAAGACAGCTGGACTGTGATTGGTCATCAAGTAGAAACAATCCACGTTAGGCCAATCAAAGATGCACTGCATTCCTGTTGCCTTCCACAGCAGCAGATAATTATTGTTTGCATTTCATTTCTGAGACCTCTCAGCTTCTCAGGAGAAAAAATCCTAGCAAAGGATTTTTCAGAAAATATGTCTGTGACATTACAGCTCATATGAAAACTACTGAATCAAACAGCATAATTCTGTTTTCCAGTCTGTAAGCTCTCTTCTTTTTGACAGTGGTAGCAGTTTCATCTTGCAAGAAACCAGATGCTTTGGGAGGAAAGCTAGTATAGAAGCTATCATCTCATCTTGTGCCTAGGCACTCTGGAAGCTGAATGTTAGTCAAATGTAATGAGTGCTTTGGATTGCAATATTCCAGCAGCCATTAAGAATTGGGCATTCGAAAGCAGAGAAAGTGATTGCTGCTCTTCACCTTATTCCAAGTGTCATGTGACTCTCAGTACTCTTAACACCATGAAAACAGGCTGTAAGGTGTTGTTTCTTTCTGAAATAATTTATTGTATAGCTCAAGAGCAGTCTGTTTGGACTAATAATTATTCTGGTTCTGTGCAAAATCAATAAATTGCTTTACTGAGTTCTTAGAATTTGATTAACATTTTGGTTTAATATTCTGCCGGTTTTCTTGACAATGTAGAGGTATTGTGTGCCAACATGAAATGCAACATCATTAGAGAATTGTAAGTTAAAACAGACTTTATTACTTTAAAAAGAGAAGTACTGACTGAGGTTCTGTGGGTACAGATATCAAAATCTGAGTCCGCAGGAAGATCGTACAGATGATATCACGAGTCTCATAATATTGGGGAAGTTTTTATGATTGTGTAGAAGATATTCATTAGCTGCAGAAAAGTAAACTTTCAGGTGATGATGGGATGAGCTCAAATCCCAGTTTTCTGACTTGTTCAATGTATCTGATCTTAGTGAAGTTAGGAATCTGTTACCTGGAAACGAAGAACACTTGTTTCATATGGGAAAAAATTCTGATGTCTGTTTTGAATACTTTCCTCTACCACTGTTGAAGAAAAGAAAAAAACAACAAAAAAGCTGCTCACTGAATGATCACTTGCATAAGATGGGGTAGAAAGTTTTACTGGTTTCTTTTTTGTCATTGTCAGCTCAGTTCTTGCCTTATGTAAAGGAAATCTAAGAATGTGATGTTTGTAGAACCTGCTTATTATATGCATCCACAGACGTTTGTTTTGAAGAGCTAGCAACTATAAGTATTTTAGTTAAACCCCTTAGACTTGAGCAAATCCATCACAAATCACATCAGAGTTTTTTATCTTATGATGAAGTTTCATGAGGATGTTGTGCTGTACTGAGGTCTCTGTAGGCAGTTAGTGTATGCAAGTATTGTACTGTTCATGCACTGCTGTAGAAAAGCAAAACACTGAACACAGAGAATAGTTAAAGTGCTTACTGGTTAACAGTTGTAAAGTATTTGGAATAATGAGCTTATTTCTAAAAATTAGCCAGCTTGTTATTAGTAGGCAAGAAAACATACATTGATTTTTATCTAGCACTGTAATGTCTAAAATTATCTGTGCTGGTTTAACAGTTTGGCCAGTCTGTTTCAAATGAGACTGTATGAGCTACAGAACTTAGGCTCTTCAGGATCAAAGATTTAGCTGAGCTGACAAGAAAGAATTGGAATGGAAACTCTTCACAGAAGTTAAAATTACAATGTGTGATATTAACTAGATAAGTGAACTTTCAGATAGATATCTGGAGCCTCTGAAATGGCTTTCTCTTTCTGTAACTGTCTGTAAAAAACTTTAGTAAACTAAGTTTACTGAGGAATGTAACCTGTGCCATTCAGCTCAGCTAGCTTTAAAGCTGAAAGCTTGTACTGTACATTTGCCTTAACAGGAGCTGCAAAAATTTTTGAGGTAATGTGTATGGATACTTGATGAACAGAAGAGTTACATCTTAAAACCATTCAGTTTTATGGTGTCAAACTTCAAAGCATGTAGGAGCTCATTATCAGTGGGGTCAATCCAAATTTATTTTGATTGTTTGTTACTGGAATAACATATGAGGTTGTGCCTTGGGTTCTTGCACTGATTAATATTGTGGGATTTCTAACAAGAGCTTTACTATTTCAAAGATACTAATATTGAACAAAGACTAAACTTTGCTGTCTTTCAGTCCTTAATGGTACAAGTTCTGTTGAGTTAAAGAAAAATCCTGCCAAACCTGAGTATATGTAGGGAACTTTTTCCAGCTTTTTTCTTTTTCCTACTTCATTATATTTATATTTTTGTGCTTACTGCTACCACTGATGCAGGTGAGAAAAAATACTACACAATGTGTTTGATAAAATAGGTTGCATAGTAAAGCATTACTTCTTAATGTTCTAGCTTGCAATAACTTTAGTAATAATGGAAAGGAAAGATAGGCAAATACATACCAGTACAGTCAGAATAATATTATAGTCAAAAACAGGGAATATGTGAATGATTAAATATTTTCAAGTAATTTTGAATTTTTATGTTTTTTAACATACAGTGTTCAAAGGTCTTAGAGTCTTGTGTTGTTTGTGGTATTAATAAAAATGTATGTGCAGATACAAGTGGTTTTGATGTAGAAAATTGTGGCATCCATATTGTAGAAAAACAAATCACCCCATTAAAATATTACCCACTTCACTGGTTGTCAAATTCCTTTTACCTCTCCTCTGCTAGTTTAATGTTCTCCTTCCCATCACTGCTCTCAGTGATCTGTTTCAAATCACTGTAGTATAATTCACCATGTAATTTCATGCCAGATGAATGTGGCAGTGCACAGTATTAATACCCTATAAATAAAACAAAAAAAAACCAAAAAACCATAAAGCCTCCATTCTCACTGTGCCCTTCCTCCCCCTGTCCCTCAAGAATACAAGAATGAAACCAGAAATGACCTTGTGAAGTCAGTCATGACCCTGAGTCTGTCTGGCCTAATAATCCCCTGCATTTTGCCTTGCATGGTCAAGCAAATTTGTCCTGCACTCTTAACCTGGGCCTTCTCTCCTTGCATGATCTGTGTGTCCTCTGTCTACAGCAAGCTCTTACAGAGAATCGCTTCCTCCCATGTGCCTGAAATCCAGTTTTCAAAGCCTGTGCTGATACCAGCCTGGTCTTTGCTAGTACACAATCCAATGGAAAGTGTAACCCTGCCTGGGAGTTAATTGTTGTGGAGTTCTGATTTTTCAAGGCAGTCATACCTCCTCTCCCATCTTACTGTTTCAGACTGGGAAAGTACAGGGCAGATTTTTAAAAATTTTTTTTTTTAAATGTTTTCTTTTTACTATTATTTTTCCAAGTCCGGTGGCAGCCTCATGAAGGCTCCTTTGTGTCTTGGCAAGGCTGACAATAATATACCAGTAGTAGGTACCAAGCTGGGCCATGGTAGTGGGAGTTTCTCAGAACAATTTCCCAGCTCATACTTTGTGGCTCAGGGCTTCTGACAACAGAATGGTGTCTTGTTAAGTCACAGGCCTTGATTTCTTTATTTAGTAATTAGTCCATTAGATTATTATTCTCAAAACTATTCTCTGCAGCATCCTGACAGGAGTTTTTAAACTTGTCATCAGTTCTCATCTAATGAGAAAACAAGTGGATTTTTAAATTTCTGGTATATGTTTAACAAACATCTTAAATTTTTAGTATTTACCAGCAGGTTAAAACTAGAATAACAAGGCATGTATTTAAAAAATTCAATTATAATTAAAACCTTCGAAACAGACTGCTGTTGAGGAGATAGAGCTTGATTCTGCTATTCTTACCACTGTGGCACAGGTTTGGATCATTCTGTAGCCTGAGCTGCTGTCATTTTTAGTCCCGGTGTCCTCATCAAGTTATGAGAGGTAGAGGCTGAAGCTAGATGGAATCTATTGAAATGTCTTCTTCTTCCTTTCTTCCCTGCTTGAAGTAGACCTTCAGGTACTTCAGCAGGAAAATTGTCTCTAGTTTAGAAATAATTTGGTCTGTCAAAATTGAGACTGTTGAGATTATTTATATTTAGCAAAGCTTGAAACTTTACTAAACTAATAAACTAAAACTGATCTTGTTTTTCAGACTGAGAGCCTAGAGAGCACAATAACCATACCAGATATCAGATTACATAGCAATCCTTCAGCTTTTAATGTTTACTGCAATGTCCGCCATTGTGTGTTGGAGTGGCAGAAAAAGGAAGCGTCTGTGTCTTTGGCCTCGAAGAACAGTGTCCAGAGTGGGGATTCAGACAGTGATGAAGAGGAGGAGCCCAAAGAGCCACCTATTAAACTTCCAAAGGCAAGTAACTGATACCACCTAAAGTGTGCCATGTATGTTATCTAAGGTTGGTGTGTTCTTTTTGGGGATTAAAGAGCAACAGTACAATCCAGCTGCTTAGAACAGTGCTGTAGTTTTATTTGTAGTCCATCTAGTTCAGAATCATTTAATGAATTAGGATGATCTATGTACCTGCCCAATTAAAGTCAGTTAAATGTCTGGTAAACACTCAATTCTTTTCAAAGTGTTGGTACTTGAACACCTCCTGCCTCAAAAATCTACACAGAAATGATGCAAATAAGGCAGCTCTTATATCTCTGAGAGGCTACCAGCTCATAATGGTAAAGGGTGCTCTTTTTTGCTTTACCCTCCAAAAAGATTAAGTCTTTCTAATAATGGAAATAATTTGGTGGAATGGTTCCTAAGATGTTTTGCTGGGTTTGCATGTAATTGCAGCAACTGTCCGTTATTCTTTCCCTTTTTTGGCTTTAGTGCCCGTAGTGGTACTGACAGCTCCAGATTGTACTGCATGTTGAGATTTTGATGCTATAGTTGAACAGTTACAGTGGGTTTTTTACTATTGACTGCTTCTATGCTTTCAGTAGGATTAATGGTAGAAAGTCAGAAATAAAGGACTTACTGATTTTTTTTATTTTTTTCAATTTGTTGGTTCACTTGTTTTTTACTATGTATTACAAAACTCTGCATTTAGTTTTGTTCATTGCTACCTTATCAATGCTATGGAACGTGCTTTGTTTTGTTGTTCTTCTGAATCTAAAAAGGATATTCAGATTAACTTCCTTTGTATATATTTGGCCTAAAACCAATACAAATGCTGAATTAAAAAAGGTGGTTGCAGCTGTGGTTATGTAGAATATTTGAGTGACTTAGAAAATTAGGATTTTGTAGATGATTGCGTTTAGGTGTTGTTATCTGAGGGGTAAAGTTGGCACTCCAGAAAATAGTTGTGGTGAATTGTAGAGAAGCATAACCAAGTCAGCCAACTGAAATTTCATGACTGATGATTGCAATATGTGGTCACTGGAAATAAAGTCAGCATTGTTTATGAACTGCATTTGAGTACTTGTGGATTGTATTAAATGAATCAGCAAGTGCTTGTGGGTGCTTAATTTTAAGTAAAAGGCAATGTAGCTACTAGCATTTATGGAGGATGGAATGATGTTTTAAAACGATGTTGAAATTAAAAGAGCTTCCAAGCAGGATGAGATTTATCAGTGATATGGACAGAAGACCTGCATGTGGAAACCAAAGCATTGGTATTGTGTTGGACAGCTAATTACAAAGATGGTGGCTTAGAAAAAATGGTAGGGAAACTGTAGGTAATAAACTTCTCTCAAAATAGAAAATTGTTGAGATTTTTGTTGCATTCAGTACAGCAAATATAAAACTGGTGAAAATTAAGATGTTTTCCCACTGTTAATTTTTAGTAAAGTATCTACAAAATATCAAATTTGAGAATTTATGGTTCAAAATATGTTTAGATGCCTGATACAACCTCAGTATTTTTCATAACTATCTGGGTAATACAGGGTTGTTTAGGTCACTTGGAGGTAACAATTGGACTTGCGTTCATGCTTTTTAAAAAAACATCTGCTTGGAATTGTCTCACATATAGTAAAACTTCTAGGGACTGACTTGTAAATCTCTTGCTATCCTTGGTACAGGTGTCTGTCTCATGATAATGAACAATATTGTGTTTCTAAGGTTCACAATATTTACAAGACAAATTTCTTATAGCAATTGTTAGTTTATTAAAAAGGATACTGATGTATTTTGAGTTTGACAGTGAGGTGAAAGATGAGAAAAAGTGTGGCTAGAATTTCTGCTCTTACAGATTCTCCAGAGTGTAGTCCTTGGTGTGTTAGTGGTTTTTTGTTTAATTGAGAATAAGTTGAAAATATTCTACAATTTGGTAGATTAAGGTGACTTTGGGAGTTCTATTGAGGTATTTTTCTTTCAGATCTTAAATTTGAGGAAGTCAGGTTTGTTAGAGCCTTTAAGTAGAATGTATTTTGGAATCAGAAATTGTCCTATGCAATTTCTATAATAAGATTGAGAATAGTTGTTTTTAACATTAAGAGACAGACTTTGCTGCTCTTCAGATAGTAGCATAACAAAAAATTTGTGTTTTGGTTTTGTTCAGATAGTTTGGTAACTTGTTTTGCTAGCTTTATATTTTTGGTTTCTCAGGAAATACTTGCCTTTGTCAGACATACTTGTTTGCTACCTTATTTATTATCTTAGCTAGTGGTGAGGCATTCTCTCTACCTAAAATGGAGTAGGTCAGTTCTGTTGATAAGATTTGTAATTTGCAGAGTAAAGGAGAGGTATTTCCCACACCTTTCACACACAGACACAGAGACAGACAACAGCTCCCCCCCCCGGTGTTAAACTTAAGGCTGAGTAATGAATGATCCATAGAAGCCGTGTACTAAAAGAGATAAATACTGGAATAAAGTGATTAAGGTGGAGTAAACTGACTTAAATATTCTTTGTTCCTGCCCTGGCATACATTTTGTTAATAACCTTAAGCAAAAATTTAAATTTTTAAGTTGTAACAAAAAATAAAAGACAAATAATTACTTTCTTTAGGGACTGATTTTACACATTTTAAAATTCATTAGCATAATATTACCTTTGTAAATGTTCTCTTTTTTGTGTATGTATATAATATCAATTAATCAGAGTAGTGTGTAATTTTAATTGTAGAATTGTGGGGATAATGCTCACAATGAGAGGAAAGATAAAGGAAATAAAACAAGGGCATAGAGAAGACTTCAAGATGAAATCTTGAGAGGTTTTAGGAATTAGTTAGGAGTCACAGTGTCTGCATCCAGGCTAGAATTTTGGGTACCTTTTGTTAAGCAGTCTTAAACTTTTGTTCTGAAGTCTCAAAGGTGTTGCAAAGCGAATGGGAGAATGGTTAAACAGAGAGCATCAGTAAGAGCAGTCAGGCTGTGACACAAACTGAGGCAGTGCAGTGCTTGTTTTGGCTCAAAAACCTTTCAGAGAGTGGTAGAACAAGCTTAAGGTGTCTTGAAAAGAACTATTTGCTTATTCTATCCTTCAGAGTATGGTTTGGAGGAGAGAGGTAGAGAGATAGACATATATATGTGTGTGTGTGTATGTAAGATATACATACATGAGATAATACAGTGAATAGATCTATTTTATGAAGCCTACCCAATCTCTTGATTTCAGATATTTAAAAACCAACCCAAAACCTATGCAGAATTGATAACATCCCAGCAGAACTCTCTCTTATTGATTCCTGCTGTAGTGGAAGTTCACCAAACATTTTCCACTGTGTTAAATTCTCTACTTGCTCTAGCTGCCTCTGTCAGCTCCTAGATGAGGTCTTCTGTCTGAAGATTGTGAAGAATAAACTTAGTTGCTCTCAAAGACATTATAAATGAACAGGAAGGGCATTTATAAAAATGTGTTTTATTTTTTAGCCTTTAGGATGATGGTGAGTTTTAGATCCTGGAAAAATCATTATGTTGACAGGTTTTGTCACTGTAAATTCCATGCATGTGTTTCCCCCTACTCCATTGCTGATGTGAAATGTAAGGTGTAATTAGTAGGAAAATTGCTGTTGTGCTTTGAGGACTTGACTTGGTTATGTTTTTATCCTTCCTCCAATAAAAAGATAGATGGTAAAACAATTTCTGAAGGATGGGAATCAAATTAAAGGCCTGCAAAGACAGTTGCAAGGCATCCAGTAGAACTTAGAGCTGACTTCCAGAATATATGTTTTAAGCATGGGTGGCAGTTGCATTAATGATGTTATTTATTTTTGCATTTCTATATTTTTCCTTAGATTTTACTCAGGGATGAATCTCTGTTAAATACTCTATGGGGGCTCTGCTCCTGACCAAAAGACATAGGGAAGTTTTTAAGATATAGTTGCTTATTTGTAATGTGCTAACCCTCCTCTCTTTCATCTTCATAATTATTAAATACAGAGTTTGAGGAGGAAGTGCAAGGTAGCAGTCAGTGGAGAGAAGCATGACTGTAATCTCAGAATAGTCAGGAATTCTAAAAGGGAAAGTTAGAGATGGCTCTAACAGGGCTTTTAAATATGTTCTGTTAGTTGGCTTAATGCATGTCTTTTATGAGTACATGTGGAGTTTTAGTGACTAGCAATTAATCTTTGTTTTTGTCACGATATAAAAAATAATCTCAGACTTTGGAGGGGACAGTTCTAGAGCTGCCAGTATCAGCTGTCAAATGTATTGTTCAGGATGTGCAGCCAGGTTGCAAGACCGTTCTAGTTTGCAGGCTCACATTGATGAGCAAGGAAAAAGAAAACTGTCAAAGAGTGAACTGGATGGAAATTAGAAGGGCTCAGAGGTACAGGTTGCCTTTTGTTGTGCAGAAATTTTAAGCTTCCTTATTCTTTCAGGAAACTTAGTTTGCTTAGATATGCTCTTTTATGTAGTGTCTGACTTAGATGTAATATTTGTTGGTATAGTTGTATAGGTGGATTCTTGATTTTGATTCTGGTTTAACACTGTATCTTATATTACAAGTTTTATTTGAGTAATTGTCTTGTTCAGTGAACACTGGGATATGCTTTTGCGATGAAGATCTAAAAATATTATACTGACATCTGTTCTGAAAAATCTGTGCTTCTTTAGATCATTGAAGTTGGATTGTGTGAAGTCTTTGAATTGATAAAGGAGACGAGATTTTCTCATCCATCCTTGTGTCTCAGGAGCTTACAAGCCCTACTTAATGTGCTCCAAGGTCAGCAACCAGAAGGCCTGCAATCAGAGCCTCCTGAAGTCCTAGGTAATCTCATCTCTTACTGTATTTTTATTAACACACACCTGTTATTGTGTTGGACAGAAAAAAAGGGTTCTTGGCAAGTATTTGTGAGATAGTAACATGCTTGTTCTCAACTGACTGACTATTCTGGCCTGTTAGGTCCTTATGGTGCATGTATGGGGTACTTCCTCACTGAAACAAAGTAATGAACATCACAGCCTAAAAAATTTTACTTTCTTACTGAAACATAAAATACTTGGTCTTATTGGAAAAAATACAGTTTTAGGGTGAATTTATCTTGTAATCTGCTGTTGTGGTCTATAGCTTAGATGTTTAATTTTGTCATTTATGTGGAGCTGCTAAGCAGAGTGTCACAATTTTTGTTTTTATTTTCTCTGGCCATCCCAAAGTTTCCCTGAAAATTAATTTTCTTTTAAATGATATTGAAAATTAGAACTGAACTTCTGATGCCTTTGAGAGCATGATTGACTATATCCTTTAAGTTAAAATCCCTTTATCTTTTGTTTGTTGACCGAACTGCAGAGAAGTCTAGGCTGTAGCCTGAGTTCTCTAAAGACAATTTTTAAAAAGTCTTTAGACTTCATGTATTTTTTCATGTTTTCTGACTTAACAGTATTGCATTTCCAAAGATTGTAATGTGCTGCAGAAAACTTATTTTGTATTGATGCATGGAGTATTAAAAAGCTGCAAAGAAAACTTTTTGATTACTGCCCTAGTGATTAATTGTATCAGCTCTTGGGCAAATTTAGGTGGATTTCTGTTCACACCGGGATTGTTAGAGAAGTTCAGCCACCAAACTATCTTTGGAAAGAGGCATATGATGAAAATAATTTTCAAGCCTCAATTTGAAATGCTTGTTCCTATGAAGTGGGTTGTGCTTCAACGTGGGTAATGGTCATAAAGAGTAGACAAGTGATCTACACATCATTACCACAGTGATGGGGCAGATTGAATAGTGTCTACTATAATAACTCTTTCTGGCCCATTTTTTGTTAATGTGTTCCACTGTGACAGAAGGACTTGTAGTTGTTCTTCTTCAGCCATGGTGATTATCCAGACTTGATGTTTTCTGGTTGAAAAGAAGAAAAGTTAAGGATCATTCAGGTTCATTTAAGATGCTTTTCTGTCTGAAATTAGCTCTGAATATAATAGCTGAGGAAAGAGAGAATGTATTTTCCTTTTTAATTTCCCATTGATAGTGAAATTGTTTTGTATGATTTTGTGACTGATCTGTGCAATGGCTGTGTTTTATCTGCAGAATCCCTGTTCCAGCTGCTTTTGGAAATAACAGTCCGTAGCACGGGAATGAATGACAGCACGGGACAGTCCTTGACAGCGCTTTCCTGCGCTTGCCTCTTCAGTCTGGTGGCTGCCTGGGGAGAGACAGGAAGGACACTGCAAGCAATCTCTGCAATCCTCACCAATAATGGCAGCCATGCTTGTCAGACTATTCAGGTCTTGCACTAAAACTTCTCTGTCTGGGAATTTATGTAAATGAGTACTTCTCATGAGTTCTGAGATGTGTTGTTTAATTGTTACCTTTTTCTCCTTCTCACTATTTTTGAGATGAGTTGGTATTTCTTTGTCTTTCTTGAGTTAGAGTTAGAACAGAAAATACAACATTTTAAATAATTGTAATCCTTTTCACTCACTTTTTCTTTTACTGTTTAGGTGCCAACCATTTTAAACTCTCTTCAGCGGAGTGTACAGGCAGTTCTGGTGGGCAAAATCCAAATCCAGGACTGGTTCAGTAATGGGATAAAGAAGGCAGCCTTGATGCACAAATGGCCATTGAAAGAAATATCTGTAGATGAAGATGACCAGTGCCTACTTCAGAGTGATGGTTTTTTCCTCTATCTCTTATGTAAAGATGGACTTTACAAAATTGGTTCTGGATACAGTGGGACAGTGAGGGTAATGTGTCTGCTTCTTGTCTGATGAGTGATACTTAGTATTTTAATTTTTATGATGTCCTGTTTCCATGGACAATCTTATATAGCTTAGTAATCATCAGTTCTATTACAGTTTGTGTAAATTTTTCTGATAATTTCTATGACAACTTGACAACATTTTCTTAGAATTTTTACTTTGCAATATGGTTGAAGATATTGCTTAAATGGTAAATGATTATGTGTTGAGTTTTCACTCTGGTATTTGTTAAATGATGGAGATTTTTTGCTTTTCAGGGCCATATATACAATTCTACATCCCGCATCAAAAATAGAAAAGAAAAAAAGTCTTGGTTAGGTTATGCTCAGGTAAGTGAATACTTAAAATATAAAATGTGCAGCCCTCCTTATCTCTCATAAATAATTTAAGTAGACCCTGCCTTAGAGTAAGCTTACATGGATATTTTATTATTCCTTTGACTTTCTTCATAAAAAACAAAATTTTTGGTACTGACTTCTAAATTATGGGGGATGGTGGACCTGTAATCACAGGCCTGTGGAAAGGAATAGTGGAGTGTCTTTGCTTTGTGTTGTCACTGTAAAAAGACTTTTGCAAAATATATTTTAGCACATCAGTTCATGAACTGTATAATCAATTGATGTGTGGTTCTGATGTGTGTATGTGCATGTCAATGGATGTAAGAAAGTGTTGCTACAACAAACATGTAAAAAATATTTGAAATACCTGTTTATGAAAAGAAATTGACATGAAAACATCTGCAGTAAGATAAGGAAATGCTGTTTTTGTTGGGAAGGATTGAGCATATGTAAACCATGTGTAGCGATAATTTTTGACTTTGACATTGTGGAGTTAACTATATTTGTATGGTTTGTGTTTTTTAGGGTTAGTTTCTGCAATATCAACCACTTTTTCTTACACTTTTATTATTCGTTATAAAAAACCCTCAAAACATTAAAAAAGTATTTCCTAGAACAATTAATTTACTGATTTTATTGTATATTTGCTTTTAACTGAGTGATCTCATTGTCCCAGTGTGATTTTTAGTATACTCCTTGCCATGCTTTTGAAGTGAAATTGTTCATTAATATATGTTCTTTCATTGCAGTTATTGTTTGTGTAAACACAAACACAAATCTGGTTTTATTTATTGTAAAAGCAAATCACTGAAAGGTGCACTGGCACAAAACAAGTGGGTGTGGATGTATTAATTCTGGAGCCTGTTCTATCAGTTTGGAAAGGAACAGGATTCACGTGGCTTCGTTATACAGTGTTACATGTTTGGACATTCTGTACATAACTATAAGTATATGTGATGCTTTTTGAGTGCTTGTACAGGTGTGTGCCCTCACACAGTGACTGTAGCCAACGGCTCTGCAGTTAGGACAAGTGTCATTCTGTGCCTATATTTATAGAAAGGTGTGTGACTTGCACTTATTGCTAGTTATGTGTCCATAAGAGATAAAATGTCCTTAGTGTCATTTCCCTTCAGGTACATGGTTACCTTAAATTCAGGTGATTTTTCCTACTTCATCATAATAGTTACTTTTAGATTGAAGATTTTCTATCTACTTTAATGCTCTTTGCTTAATTTATGTGGGCTTGTTTTCCTTATTTTGCTGAGATTTATTTATCCAGTAGCTTCAATGGAAGGAACTGTCTTAGTGTGGGAGTCAAAGTAGTTAACTAATACTTTTTTTATTCTAGATTTTAATGCATGTATTTATATGCAATAATGATTGCTCTTCTGTATAGGACAACATTATCTATTGCCTTTCTGATATTCCTGTGACTATTCTTTTGAGTTGAAGAGTGGATACAGAAACACTGTTTTTTACTGTGGCTGTGGCTTTTAATTCTAATTGTATACAGATATAAATAACAATTGATATGTGGGGCTTCAAAAGTTGTATACCAGTTTCAGCATGCTAATCTATGGCATGAAGAAAGTGAAGGAAGGGAGTCAAATTTCATCTTTTAATATGGGATTTAGTTAAAGTTTGGTTAGTAGAAAAAATGTTGATCATCATTTCATGTAAAAGGCTTCTGTTATTTTAAAGCAATATCTAAAATAATCATTGCATTTTTTTCCCCTTTTATTATCAATGTATTTGAGAGTATTTTCATACCTCCACGTTTTTTTTTTTTTTTTTGCTCTTGCCAGGGCTACTTATTATACAGAGATGCGAATAATCACAGTATGACAGCCATAAGAATAAACCCTGAAACTTTGGAACAAGACGGTACAGTTACTTTGCCAGGTGAGAATCTCCACATGAGAGAAATTTGGTATAGTTTGCTCTTTACTTTTTATGTATTTTCAGGCAAGCAGAAGAGAAACTGAGAGGTTTTGAGGGCACAAATAGATTGCTTTATGACTTTGCTTCACTTCAGACCAGCTTCAGTATTTCACTTCAAGGCCTTGCATCTTATTCCAGTTGCTGGAAGAATATTGCAACACTTTAGAATATGTAAACATCTTAATTTAAATTCCTTCCTAAAAGTTTTCTTTCTCATTTGAGCTTTGAGTGTTTGCCTCATGTATGACTTTGTTTCCAGGATGTCTTACGTGTAGGCAATTATAAACTATGAACAAAACCATTTTGTTTTTAATAGGGTAAAAATATATCCAAAAAGCAAAGGCAGCTAATGAACACTGATGGACCATGCTTCTGATGTTTATATTGGTGGTGGATTTTGGTTTATTTGTTTGGGGAATTTTATTTTTGTTTTGGGTAGGGTTTGTTTGTTTTATGGGGGTTTGTTTGTTTTCATTTTGTGGTCGTTTTTCAGAGGAGCCTCATAACTTGAGTCTCTTTAGAGAATAAAAAAGTTCCTGGAACATGCTTTAATGGCCTTCTAGTGAAATACATCTGTTCTTAGCTACACAGATAAATAGTAGAAGGACACAAGAATATATTTTAATCAAATAATGACAGACATGTTGTAGATCAGAAGAAAGATTTTGTTTCATCCTGACATAAATAAGAAACCACTGACTGAAACCTCAGAAAAGTTCTCTAGAATTTTTGTCTTTAAAATGCAAACAGCAATTTTTTAAACAAGTTCTGAATGTTGAATCTAGTCCATGCAACCTTCTGCACATCCTTAAAGTACGGATGTCTTTTGAAGCTGCTGTTGCTCTTTGTGGGGGCTGTAAGAGGTATTTCAGTGACAGCACATTCAAGGACCTGAAAAACTGCCTTCCAGAGTGGTTTTTCAGCTTTGTTCACCTCAGGGCAGCTTCTTACACAGTTGGGTTCATTGATGTCCTTAATTATGTTACCATCTGTAAACAAATCAGTGTTCTTCATGCAAGTCTTGGAGAGATTTGAGCACATTTAAAGTCTACCTTTTGGAGCTGTTAGCTTGTTTTTGCAAATCTCAGTGGCAAGTGTTGTTCTGCAAGACTGCCTTGTATTTATACTGTAAAAAGGCACAAATTAAATGTGTGTGCCTTCTTAACAATTTGCAAAAGCAAATCCAAATGGGAATACCCATTCAGAAATTTCTCAAACTGTCCTCTCAGTTGCATTTTGTATGGTTTGTGATGGTGTTAAAGATGTTCTTTGTAACTCCAGTCCTTTGTATTTCAGTCCTTGAACTTTGCTGTTTTGCTTTGTGCACTTCTACACAATTGGCTCAGTGTGTTATTGTGAGAAGATATGACCTTGTACTTTTGCCTGGGACAAATTCCAGGGGTTCCACTTCTGGTTATTTTCCTTTCCCATTAGAAAAAATGAAATGAAGGTAGAGGGAAGGTGACCTGAGGAAAACTGAGTAGGTACTTAACTCTGAATACCAGTGGCTGCCCCACTGCAATATTATGGTTGTTCTAGTTCTGCAAGTTCTAGTTCTTATGGTTATTCTAGTTCTGCAATCTTGCAAGTTGTTCTAGTTCTGAAAAGCCATGCTGGATAGAAGTAGAGGCCAGTGACCTTGCTAACAGCTGAACACAGCAAATATTTGCTCCTAGTTGGGATGATACTCAGGCATGGCTCTGTCTGGAATTAATTTCTTTCAAGTGCCTGGGCTGGTGATAGTGCATTAAAAAAAGGTATTAGAATTTATTCATACATGGGATGCATAGGAGGTTAGGATGGATTAGAGGTTGATCCTAGGTATAAGTCACGTGACCTTAATAAAGTCAGAGAACTATGCAACATTATTTTTCCTTTCTCAGACTGTAGGAGAAAGCTACATTAGCTTATTAAAGCCATAAACTTCTGTTTTGAAAGGGCAATCTTTCCACTCTGAAAAATGATCTTTCAAATCCAGCCTTGTTTCTGGAGCTACCAGACTATGTGTCAACATTCTTGTGTCTAAGGCCTTTGCCAAGATTTATACACTGTACCTGAGTTCAGTATCTGTTTTCTCAGTCCACGTATCATAAAAGAATGTTTGAATTCCATGAGAATTTACTAGATGACAAGACCTGAATTTATAGAGGTTTTCATCTTTGCCATTTCTTTCAACAGTGATGCTTTCTGCATACCTTAAAACATTTCTGTTTTCAGCTGGAGAAATTGAAGTCACATGGTATATGGTTTTATTGTTCTTTGAAATTGCAAATTAGTGTCTTAAGCTCAGGACTATTCCCTTAGTGTGGAAAGTACTCTGAGGGTAGCCTAGGTGATCTCAAGGCCTGCATTACTAGCAGGTGCAGAGTGGGCTATATGAATGTGGAAGGTTGATGCTTAACAGAGGCTTGCTTTGAAGCGTCTAAAGGGGCTGTGATTAACAGATGTCTGTACTTACATGGTTTAAGTACAGAAACCCTTTCTCTTGTAGCAATCTTCAGACAGAATGCTTGGTTATCCTCACCCCCATAGTAATATACAAAGTCAGATTGAATAAGATTTAGTATTGACCATACAAGCTTCTTCCTAGCTGAGACACTGTACTAGTTTTTCCAAATACTCCATTTGCCTTCCTTTTGTTAATCTTCCCAATGATTTGATTTTTAATGCTGGGCCTGTTTGTTAGCTAAGTGAGTGCTAATTTTTAGGAAGTCTTCTGGAGAGCATGTCTGTAAAAAAAAACCAAAAAAACAATACCTCTGTTCTAGATTTCCTGTTTGAGCAGATCTACCAAACATAGCAACAACCCCCAGAAATGTTTACCAGGAGACTCACCTTTCTTGAAGTGACTCGAGCAATAGGTTAAGTAGTGCAATATGGACCAACTGGTGGCCAGAATGTGCTGTTTCCTTGGCTGTTCTGCTTGTGTGAGCATGTAATTTTCAGTCATTCAAGGAAACCTCATGCTTACCAGCTTCCTGTAACCTTTGGAGAAATGTCATTTAGATTAGTTTTGGAACTTCTCATCCAGTTACTGGTACTTCTTTTATCACTAACATGACTTTGCAGCGTAGAGAATTAGTAGCATGGACTGCCTTTGGTTGTTAAATCCAAGATTATTTTTGAGAGAGCACAATTTCAAGGTTCAGTGTTTCTGCTGCCTTTCTCCATCATGCTTGCTGTATACTTTCTGTGATTCATACCTGGTTGTGCTCTAAGGGGAACGAATGTTGTCTACTTGTGATGTTTTGCTTCCAGAAATGCAAGTTACTGAAGGCTTTTTAATGCATATTCTGTTCCTTGTAAGACACTGTATTGGACTGGACAGTGTATCAGGAAAAAGTAAACAGTGGGTTTCTATGGGATGTTTTCAGCTGTATTATTTTAGTGCTTTAGCTAGGTAGCAAAAATCCAGTGAACTTGTTGGTCATGCTAGAAAGATGTTATGTATGCTCCATTTAGCATTAAATTTATGTGATAAAATGTTAATACTGGGTCTTTGTTCAGATTATGAAGCAAATATTTGGAGTGTAAAGTGGCTGTCCTATAGTATTTTTGGAAGAGGTCTTTTTCCTGTGTGTAATCAATAAGACAAACACAAACCATATGATATCAATCTCTTTGCCAGTAGCTCCATCAACAGTGCAGGAAGGGAACAAAAAATGATGTAGGGGCATAGATTTAAACTTGCAGAGAAAGTGATATTTTCTTTTTTTCCTGCTAATTTGGGTAGAATTCTTTCCCTCCCATTTACTTGGCATTATCTGAGCTATTTTCAATAAATGAGTGATGTATTCAAGTATATACTTCATAGTTTTCAAAAAGCCCCTAGATTTTCAGTTAATAGTTAGGTGAGATTTATAACTTATGAAAAAATGAGATAAATGATGAAAACTGTGATTCATTTCTTTCTGTAGGTTTTATATGCTGGACTGAGGAAACATTTCTATGAAGATAAAAATGCTTATGTTAAAAAAAGTTTTTGGGAAAGGAGAAAGATTTAATAGTCCTGGGAAATTTGAATTTATTTCTATTGTAATAGTTTGGAATATGCTTCACAGGTGAAAGGTGAATGGGTTTTTTTTACAGTTAAATATTTGGGTGTAGCCACACATTTCATATAATAGCAAGTGCTGTAATAACACTTACAGGAGCCAAGGAGAATTACATGCTTTTGGTGAGACAGGACATTTTTCTGCAAAATAACACATTATCAGAGTGGTATGATCTCACTTGAGACAAAGTAGAACCCTCATCTGATTGGAGTGAGAATGAATTAGACAGAAGCACAGATCAGTGTATGTATGTATGCTAATATAAACTGATGCAGTGCACTTCATTTTTCTCTCACAGATTGTCATACTGAAGGGCAGAATATCCTTTTCACAGATGGAGAATATATCAATCAAATAGCAGCATCTAGAGATGTAAGTTTTACAAATGATGGGTAAACTATTTTTCTCTCAACTGGGCTTTATTTTACAATATTTATAGCCTCCTTTTTGCTTCATGTTTGGCTTTTTCTTCACTAATACAATTAAGGAAGAAATCCATGTAACTAGAAATAATGAGAAACTTCCATATTTGTGCACAAAAGTGCAGTATTTCGGTATTCACACAATTTTGATTTGTGATTGGTTTTTTATTTTTCAAATAAGTTTTAAGAAAAACTCCATTGCTCTTTCAGGAATAAAAGTCTTATATGTTGAATAATATGTTCTACAGGTTCTTTGTAGGATAAGCTTTGTAGAGAATAACAATTAAGAATAATTTTTTTTTCTTTATTAATTTCCTGTAATTGCTTTGGAACTTATTGGAGCATTTCAGACAGTTTTATTAGAAAATATAGGAAATATACCAGATTCCAATTGATTTTTGTGTGGAAATTGCCTGATGGCCAAAGCTGTAGAAACTCAAAATGCTCCTACTAGGGACAAAACTGTAGTGGTGGTTATATTTTTTTCAGCAGACAGTTACTGTGTTTTCAATTCTGGTGTGGTTTTTCAAGTGAGAAATCTGCAAAATAGGGATGGGGTGAAACTGGGTTGGCAACAGATGCTAAATATTAACTGTCGAAAAACCAAGATTAATACATTTCTCTCCTAACAGAATCAGCTGTTAGGTTTTTTTAATATGACTCTGCACTTGTAAACAGAAAACTCTTCTAGCTACTCTTCACAGCAGTCACTCTGCATGCAGAATTTTGGGTTCTGAATAAGGAGAAGTTCAGGGCCTAAACATAGCTGTAAATAATTGCAAGAGTAAGATTTCTACAGCAGTTCACTGTTTTTATAGCGTTTGTAGCATTTTTCTAGAACTCAATGAGTTTAAGGCATCAGATACCTCAGCTTGTCCTGGTGGCCACTTAATTATTTTCTCCTCTGTGGTCATTAAAATAAAAGTTACTTTATCAATGTGTCCTCTGACATTTACTCTGAAATAGTACTATGTCGATGCACTTAGGACTTGAGAAGTGAATTAATTAATTTCTGGTACAGTATAAAGTGGATTTTTGTATTTTTTGCAGGATGGCTTTGTAGTGCGAATATTTGCCACGAGTACTGAGCCAGTATTGCAACAAGAACTGCAGCTTAAGCTTGCAAGAAAATGCTTACATGCCTGTGGCATCTCATTGTTTGATCTGGAGAAAGATTTGCACATTATCAGTAAGTTTTCTTCTTTGAAGGTTAATAGCAAGCCTGATAATTCAAACAATAGAGCTGAAACATTGTGCTTTCCTTCAGCTCTGCTATGTGCAGGAAGGTATAGCTCCATAATAAACACATGGAGAGGGGTGTGAAACCATTCAAGCATTACTTGACTCAGAGTCAAATCCATACATTCATTTGGAACCACCTTTCTGTCTCTAGTACTGTTCATGGTTTTCAGTATTTTCCTTCAGTTGTATAATAAATATATAATTGTTTGAAGCTTGGACTTTATAATAAGCTGCAGAACTCCTTGCTGTGGGTCAAAGTCAACAATTTACAAGGATCACTGACTGGATTAAAGGGAGAAAGAATTACGTTGAAAAACACATTTGCATCAGAATTTGAGTTGAAGAATTGTTAGTATCTGTGAAGGTATTTTGAAAAAAGATCACTTGGCCTTTGCTTTGGGGTATTTTTGCTCTATTGAGCTTGCTTTTGGCTCTACCAGAACAAAAGAGAAAGCATGTTTGGCTCCCTGGACCAGCAGAGGTGGATAGGTGACTGGTCTGTGAAACTGCCTGGTTAAACTGTTCAGTTAACACAATCTTACTTGCACAGGTACAGGGTTTGATGAGGAATCAGCTGTCCTTGGTGCTGGGAGAGAATTTGCACTGATGAAAACTGCTAGTGGAAAGGTACTGAAAATGTTCTGTAGTAAATAGCAAATTGCACCAGTAGATTTCTGTGATTTTTAATTTAATCATTATTTTCCATAATTTCTTTTTTGCCTTTTCAGTATGTTAGAATGTATGTTTATGACTGTACTCAAATATATTTTTCAGAGCCTGCTTTAGAACCTAAGAGGCAAATAGTTATTTTAAAAAAAGATTAGATAATCAATTAATCAACCAATAAGATAATCAACCAATCAGATACTTGGAACTCCTTAGAAATCCATTACTTGAATTTATAGGAGTTTCTATAGTCAGTCTTAGAATAAAGGGCTTTGTTTAAATTTGGGAAACAAAACTGTCTTCTGTCTACAAATGATGTGTTAGCACCTTTGCAAATTTGACCACCTCATAACTTTCTCCAGTCTGACTGTAGTAATTTATTTAAATCACATCCTGATTTTTTTTTCTGATCTTTTAGAGAATTATTGATTCCCCTATGCAAATGTTTCAATTGATTTCTTCAAACCTATTCTTAATGATTTGATATGTTGTTTTGCTCAGTGGAGACTTTTTGAGGCATTTGCATCATCATGGAAATTTAGAGATACTGTTGGTGACTTTTTACATTATTTACTGTGGTTCTATTTCAGTGTGAAAGACTAATGCTGTTTATCTTGTAGAAACATAGTTCTTAATTACATATTCAAAATTGCATTGCTTTGTTGTAATGAAGACCTTGCTCTGCTGCTGTCAGAACAGTGAGGTTGTTTAAAATGTTAGAGTAAATATTTTTTAAGAAAATTTAATGGTATGTACCAGAATTTGGTCAAATAATAGAATTCTTCAGTATTGAGGGAGACAGATTAACTTTATCATTTGACTAACAAGAGTGCCTGTTCAGTATAAAACTACCACATTTCCTGGGTTTGGTCTATAAAGTGTCTGTCAAGGTAGGAAATACAATGTGTAAGGAAATATGAAGTGGCTTCAGATGCCCCATAGGCTGACATACCAATTTCCTAGAGCTGTTGAGTTGCATGGTTCTAAAAGAAATTTTTTAGTTCATGTCAGTATTTTTGTGTTTCTTCATGTGAAATATCTTACTCTGTTATTTATGTAGTCAGTGGCCACTGTGCATTTACTAAACATGTTTTACAAATGTGTTGAAACATATTAAAATATATAGGAATTTTTTATTTTAAATTGATTTTATTGTTATGATACCATATTGTTTTTCCACAGACCAGACATTTTTGTGAGGTGTTTTAAAATGCTTCCTCTGAGTAGTTTCTTTGGTTTCTTTCTTGTGTGTTCAACTCATCTAGCCAAACAATTATATATGGAAACTCACTCAGTGGCTCAGAAGAAAGCACAATTCCAAACAATCTAATCTAAGAATCTAATCAGAATGTTTCCCCCATTAAGTCAAAATTGATGGGTTTGGGACAGAAATAGTGAAATGGCATAAACAAAGTCAGGAAGAGTGCAGTGTGGTTTGAAGTGAAAAGAATTAAAAACAATGCAGCTTTGAGAATTATGTAAGCTTGAAGTGCTGTGTCATAACTAAAACTGATAAACTTTTTTCTCCTAGATTTATTATACTGGCAAATATCAGAGCCTTGGAATCAAACAAGGTGGCCCTTCAGCTGGCAAATGGGTTGAACTCCCAATCACAAAATCTCCAAAGATTATTCAGTTTTCTGTTGGACATGATGGCTCACATGCCTTACTTGTTGCTGAGGATGGAAGCATATTCTTCACAGGCTCTGCTAGTAAAGGAGAGGATGGTGAATCAAGTATGTATCATTGCTTGCTTGAGCAGTGGTTGGTAAAAGCCTCTTAAAGACTTATTAATTTGAAAATAAGAGTTTCAGCATTTTCCAGGAACATGTAAGCATGCCATTTGTGCTGGAGATGGTGCTGGCCACAAGTCCTGACAACCAGTGCCAAAACCTCTCCCAGCTACTGAATCCAATCTCTGTTTTACCCCAGTTCGGGTTGTGTGGTGGAAATACTATTTTAGATTTGTCCCAAAAAAAGACGGTAGTAAATTTGGTCAAGAGGCCATGCTGTCTGCCTGGGACTTGGAAAAACTGTGGAGCCTAACTTTTGCCTCTTTGCTGTTGTTTTATTGAGCTTTGCAAATGAGTGTTTTGCTGGCTGGTGGAGGTGCATTGATGAGAACTTGTAGAAGCAGATCTTCTGTGCTCGATCAAGCAGAATTCTTCAGACATTAAAGAAGACAGATTAATTTGCTCTTCAGACTAATAAATGCCTCATCAATATGAGATTAACACATTTCCTGGTCTTGATTTCTGTAGTTGTGTGTGTAGGTTGAAATAGACTTTGTAAGACAACTGAAGATATCTTTAAGTGCCCTGGAGCTGTGATCTGCTGTAATATTGAATTAAATACTTCACTTTAGGAAACAGATGGGAGATGATGATATGGTAGATTAATAAGAATAATTAACATGATTTGAAATACTTGAAGAATCATTTCTAAAAGATACTGATCTAATCATGTCTTGGCTTGCCATTGAATTTTTTGAGAGGAGCCAGTATAATCCAATTAAAATTAGATCAGGAGAGTGTACCTATAGTTAGTTGTTTGTTTGGATTTATTTCATTAGTGGTCTGAAAACTATGATTATACCTGTGATGGTTTGAGGATTTTTTTGGTAGCTATACTTGTAATTTATTTCTTTATTTAAAGCTAAAAGCAGACGGCAATCAAAACCATATAAGCCTAAAAAAATTATTAAAATGGAAGGAAAGATTGTCATATCTACAGCATGCAATAATGGGAGCAGTTCTGTAATTTCCAAAGATGGAGAACTCTACATGTTTGGAAAAGATGCCATTTACTCTGATAGTACAAGTAAGTTAATATTGGTCTTTTGCATTATTTTTCAGCTGAAGTAATTCAAATTAGTATAGAAGTTTTTAGCCCATGAAAATGTTGTTTGTGTGTTTCTTAATGTATTTCTGACATTCTGTTGATTCAGACAAATATGACAGAATGGGTAAAAAAAGGTAGTTTCCAGAAGTTCTGTAACATCATTTAGCATCAGTGGTGACAAATATCCAAAGTAATTCTTCCACTAAGGAGAAGAAAAAAAAAATCACTTATGTTAATCTGGCACAAGAAGGCACACAGGAGGAAGTCACAGAAATAAGACGTGCTTTGTTATGAGCAAAGGCTGCTGGAAGCTAGGCCTTAATGTCCTTCTCTGCTCATAAGGTAGCAGAGGATCCTGTACACCACAGTTTAAGTAAAATATAATGAAATAAACTCCAATGGCTTTGTGATTCCTTTAGAATTCTTTTTCAAAACACGTGATTTGCAGCAGTTTTAGGTTTGCTTTTGTATTTTCATTTTTTGCAGGACAAATGGCCTAGGTTTACTTCTCCTTTCACTTTTTATTCTAGCACTTGTTTTTTTATATCTGTTTTTCTTTCATGCTGTAAAATTTAAAATTGTCTGTATCCACTAACAATTCTGTTACATCACTGAGTTTCCTTCTTGGCTAGAAAGTGCAATTTTTCACCCAAGTGTTTTATGTCTTACAGGTTTAGTAACAGATTTGAAAGGTCATTTTGTGACTCAAGTAGCCATGGGCAAAGCTCACACGTGTGTGTTAATGAAGAATGGAGAAGTTTGGACATTTGGAGTAAATAATAAAGGACAGTGTGGACGAGACACAGGCTCTATGAGCCAGGGAGGAAAAGGTGTGGGACCTTGATTTTTTTTTTTTTAGGTTTTTTTTTTAGCTTTTCATTTAGCATGCAAATATCAGAAGTGAAAACAAAGCTAAACATTTTTTATAAAATGTAATTCCAACACTAAAGTTTGAATACATGCAACATGATCAGATATTTCCAAAGAGTCTCTGTGCTGGCTGAGCAGGCAAATGAGGCATTCCTAGTCATTCTTTTTAAAACCTGATCTCTGTGAATGTTCTTCAGAGCTTCAGCAGTTCATAGACATGTAGAATAGTTGGAGGTGGAAGCAGTCTTTTAAAGGTCATTTAGTGCAACCCCCCTGGCAATGAACAGGGACATCTTCAGCTAGATCAGGTTACTCAGAGCCTTGTCCAACCTGTCCTTACCTCTCTGAGTAACCAGAACCCTCTCTGTTGGTCTCAGAAAGCAAGAATTTCTTATTTCAATATCTTAATTAGGTTTTGGAGTTGAGAACATGGCAACAGCAATGGATGAAGATCTGGAAGAGGAACTGGATGAAAAAGATGAGAAGTCCATGATGTGTCCTCCAGGCATGCATAAATGGAAGCTGGAGCAGTGTATGGTGTGCACTGTATGTGGGGATTGCACAGGCTATGGAGCCAGCTGTGTCAGCAGTGGCCGTCCTGATAGAGTGCCTGGAGGGTAAGCACGTGTGTGGGGCTGTGCCTGCTACAGTGGGTTGGATGGCTAAAGCACTTCCTGAATGTGAGCTGAGTTGGAGTTTCCATCTAAAGTAACTTTATAGCTAAATATATGGTAGTATGTGCTTTTAAAATCAGAAATGGCTTAAAATTTCTGTAAATAGCTTCTGGCTGCAGGTGATTTAGTTTTATAAACTGTTTTCTTACTTTGGCATGTAGTTCTTTACTAGAAGCTGTTGGATGTGAACACCAATATAATTTCTGTCTCATGACAGACCTGCTGGCTTAGGATAACTTTTCTTCATCCTCTCATGGAAGTTTATCTTGCTTTTCAAGCTGCCATTATCTGTTACTTCTTAGTTGAGCTGCAGGAGGGCCACTGCATCACCATTACTGTTTCTTCAGCATTTTGTGTGTCATTGTTTCCTTGTTCATGTTTTCATGTGGTGTACATTAAATTGAAGAAAGAAAATTTATTCTGAGAAGTCAGGTCAGTGTATGGTCAGTGTAAGGCACCATGCAACAGCAGCTAGGATTTAAATTAGCTGTCCTTCCTGTTTATCTCAGGAAAACTTGCATGTCCACAGATAGAACAAAGTAATAATCTATGTTTTAATTACAAAGGCATCAGTAATGCACAAAAATAAAGATAGTGATAAAGCAACTCTGTTTACTGCAGAATCTGTGGCTGTGGCTCAGGTGAGTCAGGCTGTGCTGTGTGTGGCTGCTGCAAGGCATGTGCTAGAGAACTGGATGGCCAGGAAGCAAGGCAAAGAGGAATCCTTGATGCTGTAAAAGAGATGATACCTTTAGATCTCTTGCTGGGTAAGTAATATGAAATTAGCAAAAAGGCTTTTAATTCTCATTTTTACTGTACCTGGTTTTTTTCCCTATTGTTGTCCAGTACATTTGTTTACATGCTTTGTTACAGGATAATTTTAGTGTAATATTGTTAAAATGGTGCTTAACAGTCAGATTTATTTATTGGTGATACTGCAAAGTGGGATCATTCTGTTAAGTGAACTGTTCTAAGTTCACCCTTACTACAGTCACCTGTGCCACTTTGTGACCTGTGCAGTTACGATATTAATGTTGATACTACAAAGTAGTTCTTGTCCTTTTTGATATCCTGAAAAATTTCTATAATGTTTTTATCAGGATTTAGGCATTCTTAAACTGAAACATGGCTAATTCATCTAAAACCTTTTACAAATATGAACAATCATATACTTGGTTTAATAATACTTTTGAAAGCTTTTTAGGAGAGAATGGAGATAACCATGACTACACATAACTACATATATGTATATGCCTAAGTACTATTTAGTGATGTTGGAATAGTCAGATTCATGAAAACCAGGAAATTAGGAGATAAAGGTTAGAACGCCTCAAAATTTACTCAAATCCTTTTTATTGTCAGGGCCATGTAAAGAGTAGCTAGTAAGTAGGTTTTCAGTTTTCATTTCCTTAACTTCTTTTGGGTTTATTGCCACCACAAGAAATTTAAAGATAATTTTACTTATTTTCTTAATTTAGCTGTCCCTGTTCCTGGAGTTAATATTGAAGAACACCTTCAGCTACGACAAGAAGAAAAGCGGCAGCGTGTAATTAGGAGACATAGATTGGAAGAAGGAAGAGGTGAGTGACTTATTGAGAAGGGCCTTGAATAGCTTAAGAAACTTCTGAGTCTGTTTTCTGAGAATGAAAATAGTCTTCCTCCATTGAGCCTGTACAGTGATCAAACTAAATCAGGTCCTAAGAAGATAGTTCATTATGTAGCATGCTTTTAGAAAATGTGAAAAATCTGTGTGTTTAACAAAGTCTACACATATGATTCAGAATTTTAATGATGAAAGGAGCACTTTATATCACTTTCACAGGTCAGTTTTTTGGTTTTTTTCGTAGTTGAATGATTGTTTTAGGATCTACATTTTAGAAAACATTTATTTGAAGAGAGGATTACAAGCCTGTCCCATGCTATTTACCTATTATATGAATTATCTAATTACTATAATAAATTATTCCATTTCTGTTCTGTAATACACAGAATTTTCTTTTATAAAATGAACTTTTCTGTATTTGCATAATGTGAGAATATTAACACAGACTGAATTAAAAAAACAAAACACCATTGCAGCATTTCGAAATTTTCTTATGTTTTATCTACTTCATTGTTGATTTTCCACACAAACAATAATCTACATTAAGAACTTCACAGTACTCTTTGTGTTCTAAAATACCTCAGTGTCTTGTCAAATTAAATATGAGAAATTTAGACTGATGTAACCTGTAATATTTTTGTAAAGCATGATGATGTGGTTGCTAAGGTTATTGTGTGTTGAGAAGAGGAATAACTTATTGGGACATATGCTCTTGCAAGTTACTGCAGTTTTAGTAAATACCACTTTGATTCTTCTTTTATGTATTAGACACTGGTTTTACTTGAATACAAAATGTGCCTTGTAATCCAAATTATTCCCTAGACTGTGCCAGTGAATCTTGTTATGCAAATTGTGTCTGTATTTCATTTTAGTAAGAAATCGCTGGTTTTAGCCACAAATAAAGAGCAATGCGAAAGAGAAGTCTTGCAGTTGCCTGTGCATATGGAAAAGGATGGAATATTTATTTTTCTTTGCATCTTTGTGGCTAATTTTAGCTGTGAAGTAAAAAGAGGAAGCTTTTGTTTAGGTCAGGTCAGAGCTGCTGCATGCTGCTGGCAATTGTTGGGTGCAGCTAATAATTTTTTTATTGAAACCTAATTAAATGCTCAGGCATTATTGAAAGGTGCTGCTGTTCAGACCATCAGTGGTGACAGAGCTGGGAGGTAGATTTCAGTTAAAAGAAAAAAGAAGAGTGGCAGAGAAAAATTTACATTTGCTTCTATTTCTGTGGTTAGAAGTAGAACCAGAGCAGCTTATCCCTTCTGTATGCCATCTGTTTCAAAAAGCAAAAAAAGGATCACTTGAACAGTAGCAGGAATGTACTCTTATGGTTGGTTTTATAGATGTATGGGTGAAAGGAGGTTGTAGCCAGGTGGGGATTGGTCTCTTCTCCCAGGCAACCAGTGACAGGACAGGAGGACACAGTCTTATGCTGCACTAGGGGAGGTTTAGGCTGGACATTTGGAAGAATTTCTTCACAGAAAGGGTGATTTGGAATTGCAGTGGGCTGCCCAGGGAGGTGATGGAGTCACTATCCCTGGAGGTGTTTAAAGGGAAGACTGAATGTGGCACTTAGTACCATGGTCTAGTTGACATGGGGGTGTTTGATCATTGGTTGGACTCAATCTCAAAGGTCGTTTCCAGCCTTGTTGATCCTGTGGTTCTGTATAGGGACTGCAGCTGAAAAGATACTGTTATCCAGCTTGTTGCACACATTTGTGTTACATTCTCTATCTCAAGAGCATTGAAATCCCATACCTGTGTGGCTGTGGGTGGTAGTGGGTCTGGAAGGGTTGGAGATTAGTCTCCTGTTTTGGTTCAGAAAAACTTCTTGTCATAAAGCTGGGAACAATGTTTCATAAATACTTAGAGATCTTGTTTTATATAATCAAGTATGAATATTTGATTTGATAATCAATCTTTATTTGCATAATCAGATCAAAGAGCTTTTTTGCTTCTCCATCCAGATGCTGAAGTTTTTCATTAATGAGTTGGTGCAAAGAGTAGCACCATTCTTGATAACTCTTATGATGCTGCTCTTATCATGAGAGAACAAGAACATTTAAATAATCTAGATTTTTGATGCAAAAGCTTTTGCAATCTGATAAAACATAGCTATAACAATGTTAAAAGAACAGACAGGTTGCTTGTTGCTTAGTTTTCCCAAGGGTTTTAGTATTTGTGCATATGGAACTGAACATATCCATGCTAATGAAATAGCTATTTGGAGATCTAGAGAGAACTTTCAATTTTCTGAAAACACTGCTTAGTCAGTTAAAGGCTGGACCAGCTCTTTAACTGACTAAGGCCCTCTTTGGGGCCTTTCCTTAAGGTACACAATGTTTAGTTTGTCAGTATTCTGATTTCTGGATTATTTAGTATGTTAATGTGTGTGTTTTGTCTTTTATAAGAAACAAAGCATGTGTAGTTTATGGTGTTCAAGACTAGGATTCATCACTGAATGTAGCTGCAGACTTTTAAGTTCCTGTTGGTGACCTTTATTCAATACAAATATTTTCAGTAAATATTGAATGTCTTGTAAACAAGAAAAAAGCTTTAAAAATACAGGAGTATTTCTTCCTAAAACAGTCATAGAAATAAAACAAAAAATCACAAAGAAGCCTCTCACCGGAATGTGTTGAAATAGGACTTAGGTTTAGGAGAGAGGTGTAAGAGCAAAAGTGCTGGGATTATACTAATTTTTAAGTTGTCTAATTGTTTGTGTTTCATTCAAAGCTCCAGACTTTAGTCCTGTTACAATGACCTGTGATACAAAAATATGTTCTTGGGGTCCATTGAATTAAGAGTAAAAGTGATAGTCACGTCTTTAGGTGTGACAATCACCTAATTTCTCCCCAAGATCACTTGTGGTCTCTTGTATTGAAGAAGATAAGAATGTTCATCTTAATTTGCATTTATCTGAAAATACTAACTCTGAATTTGAATGTTCTGGGTAGAAGTAGCTGTTGCTAATAGCTGCAATATCAATGACCTGGTTCAATGTTACAGGCACAAGTGATTAACTCACTTCTCACACATGATCCAAGTAGCCTGCCACTGTTGTAAGGGACTTGTATACATGCAGCTCAGCAACAGCACACTAAGTAACTTCAGAAATTTAAAGTGCTTATGCTGAAGATTTCTTTGTTGTTTTACATTGAAATGAGTTGCAACCTATAGTTTGTAATGGAACTGTAACCACCTAATAATTTTTATTTTTTGAATCAGTTATTTATGCTGCTGTATTCAAGAAAGAAATTCTGCTTTAGTGGCAAAAAATAGATCCTTTAAATTAATAGTGGGTAAAAAGTGTTTGTTTGGGATAATCAACTATTAAAAAAAATTATAAGTTCCTTAATATTTATTATAGTTCTTTGCTCTTTTCTGCACACAAGTGACTGTGATAAGCAGTGAAGAGGGCTCAAAACCAATTCTACATTTTTGAGTTGGGTGTATGAGCTTCTGAGAAATAAAGCCAGCTGTATTCATCACAGCTTCTATGCTAAATCATAATATCTCAATATAATTATTGATGGAATTATCTCAGCTCTTCACTGTCTCTGTTTTTCTGGTGAGAAGTGAAGGAGCTGATTTTCCATATGGTGAAATGGTTTTTGTTTATGAAGCTGTTTTGGGGCTTGATGAGAATGATGAGAGATGAATATGGAAATAGTTACACTTCGTTATTTTCTGTGGCAGTGAGGAAGTTTTGTATGTTAGAATGTTCAGAACATGGTTAATTATTTTTTCTTTCCTATGAAACTGTTTTTTTCATCATGGGGCATTAAATTGCCTTAATGGATTACAGAAATCTGTGGGCCACATCTGCAATTAATGCAATGAACCTAAGAATAACATTTTCTGAGAGAGCTAATCTGGAAAGTTGTTCATGAGACTTTCAGATTGGTATTTGAAGTAATAGATGTTGGTATAGTCAAAGATTTCAATTTATCACTTGAAGATAATTCTGGGGGATTTTTTCAGAAGGCAATGAGAATGTTAAAATAACTTTTTCAACTATATTTAACTAATAAGCTAAAAACCACAGACATGGTTCTCAATACAGCAATAATAAATGGTCTCATGCTTCGCAGGTATTTCACTACAACTCTTTCTCAGCCTATGATGTAAAAACCTCAAGATGATCGTTACTGAGATGCAGATTTGGTGTGTAATTAAGCAAGGTTAGCTTTTGATGCCCGAACAGAAAAGGAAAATTAATTTTCATCGGTCTTATCCTACTTACAACAACAAAGAACCCACAGAAAATTGATTAATTTTAGTCCAAGCTGCTCTGTTTTAAGACAATATAATCTGAGGCTGCCTAGATTTGGGCATTTTTTCATTCTCCTGAAGTGTAACTGATTGAGTTACTTCAGTGATTAGTTTTACCATGGTAGGCTAAGTATCATACAAATCTGTTTAACATCTGCACAAGCCACTCTGAGCTTGGCATCTCCTTGTCTGCTCAACATCTACCTAAACACACAGCAGAACTGTCTGTGTTAGTGCAATATTGAGTGCAATATTACTTAGTAAATAATTGTGCAGCTTCTTTTTATGGTTTTAGTTAAATGTTTGTTTTGATGCTTTCAGGATTACTTTTGTTTCAATGTTTTTTAAGCAAACCAAAACCACTCAAAACCCCCTACCTTTTCACTTGAAACAATATTGAATTCACAAATGACTTTTTGAGAATGCTTTCAAGGGAAAGCTGTGGGGTTTTGCCCCTAATGACCATCAGGTATGGTTCTGTGAAGTTACATTGTTACACTTGTGTCTGTGATTCCTTTGTGAAAGAGCTAATTATTGTTATTAAAACTGATGTTTAAAGTAAAAATATTTATATGATAGTTTCAGAAATCAGATTTGTAGTAGACACCATGACACAGTTCTGGTTAATATTTGCTGTTTTAATTTACTCCATGTATTTATATGCAGAAATTAATATTTTATGTTTATTTAACAATACATACA